GACAGGGATAGCTCTGCCATCGTCCAGCTGACCGCACTCTGGCTGTATTCTTCCTGGCGACAAGCTTCTTCTTTGACAGCCGCTTTTCTCCGGTGACCTTTTATCTCTAGGCGATGCCTCCATGACCGAGATTCCTCTTCTTACAGCTACTTCCCCAGCCCTGCTTCCAGCCGTACCGTGCATGTGCCAGGAAGAACTCCCAACACCCTCTGCAGAGGTAGTGCAGGGCAATGAGGGGTAGGACTGTTTGCTCTGGAAGCACGGCCTCTACGGATCCAAGCGTCCCCTTTTTCCTGGCCGGCTCTTTCAATCAGCTGCCTCAGGAGTGACAGCTTCAGCCTCAGAAGGTGCTGCTTGCTCTGTGGAGATAACTCCCTGAACACCACATACTATGCCTTCTGAGGTGCCTGAAACTGAGGGGTAACAGACACTCTTTATATAGCCCTATTTCCTGCTTCCAGAAGTTTCTTGGATCAAAAGTTCACCTGACCTCTAAAGTCCGGCGGCCTATCAGCAGGCTTCCTGCTCACCCCACATAGATAGGGAGACTTGAAACTGTGTTGCCACAGTCCCATGAGGAAGAGAGGGCCTAGAAACCCCCCCCCCCCCCCTTTCCCTTCTAGCAGCCAGTGGAGAGTGATCTTGTTAAAGTATTTGGCTGCAAGTCCTTTTCTGCTAGCCCTTTAAAAAAGGTTTGCAGTTACACTATATTGCCAAAAGTGTTGGGACGCCTGCCTTTACATAATGACATTTATTACAGAAGGATTTCTAAACTTCTGAATGTTCCAGTGAACACTGTTGGGGCCATAATCAGGAGGTGGAAAGAACATCATTTCACCATAAACCGGCCGTGACCAGGTGCTTCTCACAAGATTTCTGACAGAGGAGTGAAAAGAATTATGAGAAGAGTTGTCCAGGAGCCAAAGTACACTTGGGGAGAACTTCAGAAAGACCTAGAATTAGCAGGTACAATTAGTAATGCACTCAACCACCATGGTCTGTATGCACGCTCACCACACAAGACTCCATTGCTAAAGAAAAAGCATGATGAAGCTAATTTAAAGATTGCTGCACAACATTTAGACAAGCCTGTGAAATACTGGGAGACTATAGTCTGGTTAGATGAGACCAAAATTTAACTCTTTGGATGGCATAATACACACCATGTTTGGAGGTCATGTTTGGGCAGCTTGGCCCAGAGGTCAGCCCTGTTTGGGCCCCACAAAAGCAGGAGTTCTAGGTGGGACTGGCCAGGTATCTGATCTCCTGGTTCAGGTATGGCTAGATATACACTAATTTCCTATACACTGTCCTTCTTAGTCACCCCTTATACAGTTTTGGACCTTTGTGGTTCCTTTATTTGCAGATATTAACTGGCTACACTACCCCATATGCCTGACTTGATTTCTATTCTGTGAGATTGATGACCTTTTTCACACCGGCTGTACTTTCCCATTGCTCCTCCCCTGTTTGTACCCTAAGAAGGTTAGTACACTCTCTGTCATTTAGTTTTTACCACTTGATACTGGAGTGGTCCATATATTGGCTGGCTTTAATACAATGGTAACATGTTTAATACCCTCCCTAATTTTCTTCTTCCCCTCCCCCTTCTTTTGACCCTTTTTAGATATTACACACACTGCCTAGTAATCATTGCGGCTGAGTGGATTTCTCTGAGGCCTTAATATACCTTTTCTATATTTTTCACTTCAGTGAATATTTTTTAAGTGGCCCCTCTGGCTTTAAAACCGATGACAACATCAATTTTGTAGTCTCCATTAATGGAAGGTTAGCACAACATTCTCTACCCTTATGACAAATGCTATTTGTAGTGGGGAAAGGGTGTACTAGTTTTACTGTCTACATACCTTTCTTAGATCAGGAGACCCCCCTTTTAAGGACTACCTAGTGGTGTATCATCCTTGTGGGATCCCCCTGCTGACTTGCCTGACACGTGGTTGCTTCATGCATTATCAACATCAATCCTGACACATTTTCTGCTCTGTAGCTGATACCTCAAGGTACTTATGGATTTATATAACCAACAACTAACATTATACTATGTCATATTATGCTATACTTATATCCAACCCTTTTTTTCATGTAGTAACTCCTGAAGAAACGATACTCTCCCGAAACATGGTGAGTAACTACAGAGTGATTACTAATACTGACATCTCATCTATGTCTTTTTGATACCCTTACCGAGACACAGTATTTTTGTATCAATGTTAAACTATTATTGACGAGTTTTGTAATCTGCATAGAATGCTCCACCCCCCCCCCCCCCCCCCCCTTGGGGGTCTTGCATTCTTAGCGGAATAATCTGCATGCATTGTTATGTAATGGTCTACATTCAAATAATAAAGTGATTTTAAAGATATTTTGTTGCAGTGCCTTTAAAGCCCGCAATTTGGCCTTTTTTATTTCCTTTGGTTCATTTGGTTATATACACACTAAGGGGTCTAATTATTGGGAAAAAAATAAATTATAGCTGTGCGAATGTCTCAACATTCACATAGAGGTCATGAACAATACCCATGATGTTTGTAAATGTCAGTTTCTATTTTTTAGAAATAGGAACATTCAAACAGAAAAAAATTAAGAACATTTAACCAAAAAAAAAAAATCCTAACACTATAGGCTAAAAGCATAAATATGCAGAAGAAAAAAAAGGAAATAAAACTAAGGGATTGATTTGCATAGCCATTTGCTCAGTGAAAGTGCATGTACATTTGTTCATTTTGTGCAAATGGGGCAAAAAAAACCCCAAAACAAATGAAAAAAAGGTTTTATTTTTTTCTTGCTGTTCAATTGTAAATTATTGATTTAAAACAGAAAATACAGCATTTGGGCACTGGATGGTGCCAAGTATTAGAGTATGGAAATTCCTGTGAAGAATCAGCTACTGTAGAGAATGAACTGCTGTACAGATTGACGCAATGCTTCAGAAACAGAACTTGACAAGTTAACTGCAGTGAAATCCTTCAGGCCCCATTAACTGCGATTCTGCTCATGATCCCAAATTTTGGCTGAATATGCACTGAAAATTTTGGGTGCAATTATTCCTTCACAGCTTCCCTTCCGCCCACAGCTATAAGTGACAGACAGGAAGCAGTGCAGGTAACGTAACTGTATATCAGTCCCAGGGGCGGACTGACCCTTTGGAAACTCGGGCACTGCCCGAGGGCCCGGGGTCAGTAGGGGGCCCCATGAAATGCCCCTGGTACCTATTTCATAGGCTTTTTGAGTTTGGGCAAGGACACAGGGGCCCCATGATCCCCTATTGCCTGGGGGCCCCATGAGTTGTCAGTCCGCCCCTGGTCATGAGATTGCTTTAAGTTGATCTTACACCAAGAGAATTTTTCCTTTTCAGAACATCCGACTTTCTAATGGTGAGTGGGGTCAAATCAACATTCGTTTTCTACCGCGGCGACAAGAACAACGGTTTTCATTCGGAGACTTCCGTTCATACCAAAATCAAATGTTAAAAGGAAAGGAAATTTTGAAGACCGTTCAAACAACATTCGTCAAGTCTCTGTTGGCATTATCAAATGTACTGATGGCATTTTCATACAAATGTTCATTTGAAAATCTACCAGTGTATGGCCAGCTTGGGGCTGGGATCACACCTAGCGTCTTGTGAATGTGCGTTTTTGTAGCGTGTGTTTGCCCTGCATGCCTAGGACAGCACATTCATTTCAATAGGATGCCCTAAACACAGCAAGCGTGCCAAAGAGGCGTATGTATCCTTTACGGCACTGAGCTTTGTGCATTTTTTCACATGTGAAGAATCGTGTCAGCTTGGAGAATTTGGAGTGCCAGAACGATTGGCAGCAGGGGCGGACTGACCATTTGGAAACTCGGGCACTGCCTGAGGGCCCGGGGTCAGTAGGGGGCCCCATGAGATGCCCTGGTACCTTTTTCATAGGCTTTTTTAAGTTTGGGCAAGGACACAGGGGCCCCATGATCCCCTATTGCCCGGGGGCCCCATGAGTTGTCAGTCCACCCCTGGTCAGTCTGCATCAGCAGCTCCTGAGTGGCTCACAGAGTGCTCACTCGGGAACCAGTGATCTCTATGTTACCCGGACACAGCAGATCACATTACTGCTGTGTCCAGGTGATCACATTGTGTTTTACCATGTGATTGCTGTGTCCAGTAGTAAGCACATGGTAAGCAATAGAAACCGAAAGTAAATATTGGTTCTCTCTGCTCTTACACAGATCAGCTTTGAGAGCAGAGAGAACAGTTGCTGCAGTCTGTGAGTGACACTGCCTGTCATAGTGCATGTACATCAACAGACTGCAGTGCCAGGCAGCCCCAGTGTCTCTGATCACATGCTATTGGCCTGATCACCTCCATACACCATACCAGATCCCAGATAACTGCCATACCCCATACCAGCCTCTAGATCACCGCCATACCCCATACCAATGTTCTGATCACCCCATATGCCATACCAGCATCCTGATTACCGGCATACCCCATACCAGAGTCCTGACCATTGTCATACCCCATACCAGCGCCCCGATCTCCTCCATACCAGTGTCCTGATCACCGTCATACTCCATACCAGTGTTCTGATCACCCCATATGCCTTACCAGCGTCCCGATCACAGCCATACCCCATACCAGTGTCCTGATCACCCCATATGCCAGACCAGTGTCCTGATCACCGCCATACCCCATACCAGAGTCCTGACCATTGTCATACCCCATACCAGCGCCCTGATCTCCTCCATACCACATACCAGTGTCCTGATCACCGTCACACCCCATATCAGTGTTCTGATCACCCCATATGCCTTACCAGCGTCCCGATCACAGCCATACCACATACCAGTGTCCTGATCATCGTCATACCCCATACTAGTGTCCTGATCACCGTCATACCCCATACTAGTGTCCTGATCACCGCCATACCCCATACCAGCATTCTGATCACCCTATATGCCATACCAATGTCCTGATCACCACCATACCACATGCCAGCGTCCTGATCACCCCCCCATACCAGTGTCCTGATCACCGCCACACCCAATCCAGTGTAATGATCACCGCCATACCCCATACCAGCATCCTGATCATTGTCATACCCCATACCAGCGTTCTGATCACCCCATATGCCATACCAGTGTCTTGATCACCGCCATAACCCATACCAGCATTCTGATCACCCCATATGCCATACCAGTTTCCTGATCCCCGCCATACCTCATACCAGCGTCCTGATCACAGTCATACCCAATACCAATGTCCTGATCACCGCTGTATCCAATAAAAGTGTCCTGATCACAGCCATACCCCATACCAGCGTCTTGATCACTGCCGTACCCAATACCAGTGTCCTGATCACTGCTATATCCCATACCAGCGTCTTGATCATTGCCATACCTCATACCAGTGTCCTGATCACCGCCATACCCCATACCAGTGTCCTGATCACGCCATACCCCGTGCCAACGTCCTGATCACTGCCATACCCCATACCAGATCCTGATCACCCCATATGCCATATCGGGGTACTGATCACCACCATACCTGGGCAGCACAGTGGCTAAATGGTTAGCACTTCTGCCTGGCAGTTTTAGGGTTATTGGTTCAAATCCCAGCCACGGCACCACCTGCCTGAAGTTTGCATGTTCTCCTTGTTCCTGTGTGGGTTTCCTCTGGTTTCTGCCTACACTCCAAAGACATGCTGGTAGGTTAATTGGATACTGTCTAAATTGGCCCTAGAATGTGTAAGTAGGGACCTTAGATGGTATGCCCCTTGAGGGTTAGAGACTGATGTGAATGTAGAATATATATGTAAAGTGCTGTATAAATTGATGGTGCTATATAAGTACCTGTGATAAAAAAAAATATCACCACCATACCTCATATCAGCATCCCGATCACTCCCATACAAGCATCTGACATTTTAGGGTGTCAACTGATCAATTTGCAGATATATATGCCGTCGTTTGTAGACTCTGTAACTTTCACACAGAATAAATAATGTTTTGGTTATTTTTACCCCAAAAAATGTAGCAGAATACATTTTGGCCTACATTTATGACAAAAGATTATTTATTTGCAAAATGTTAACAAAAACTAAACAAAATTTTTTTTTTTTTAAATGTTCTGTGTTGTTTCATTTATATCAAAAAGAATAAATACGAGCGCATCTATAATGTAGCAGCTGAACATAAGGTACCAAACACCCTCAAAACAATATATATCATAAGATGCAGCGCTAATGACTATAACAAATATGCATAAATCAAGGAATCAGTCATATATGACTAAACAGTTGAAAGTTCATAAAATAGGTGACTTTAGTGCTCTCTTCTACTATATATCCTCCTGATGGTCAGGCGTTTGTGCAGAATAGTGCTGAAGGGGTGCACACTCACCAGAACGCACAGATATATGAGCGTTTATTATAGATTCCCCTTTAGGATCATCAACTGGACACGCTGTGGTATTACGACAAAACACCTTCCAGACCTCCTAGATGTTCCTGTATATTCCCTGGTTTGGGTGACCTGCGTACCTCTCCTTAGGATCAGCATACGATTCGTACCCCACAAAGAGATGAGTGGCTAGAATGGGTACTCCCCAAGGGATAAATATATAATGTGTTGCGCTCCCAGTGACAATATCTTTGATGTATATATCTAATTAACCTTGCTATGCAAAATGATTTTCAGGTATTAAAAAATATGCAAAATCAAACTATGTGAGTGATTTAAAAAAATATAAACCACTATAGTGTATATAAATTAGATAATAATAACCGCAAAACCAATGAATAGTGCATAGTGAACTAAAATATATAACTGAAAATAATACACATCATGAATAGTGAAATACTCAAAAAAATATATATATATACTGCCAAATAATTGTGATATAAATGTCCTTTAAATACAGTGACTTTGTGCTTGAATAAATCTTGATTTGGTGACTTTTTGTGAATCTGTGACTTTCTTTGAATCCTCAATTGGTAAAGATGTATGCTCACCTCCTTGTTAGCCTGCAATTAGGCTATACACACTTGTGGTTCACCTCCTATGGAACCTGCTTAGATGGAATTCCTCTTTTGTGAATGGTAAGAACGTGGATATGCGTTATCCTCAGATTGCCCATGTGCGTTTTTCCATATGTGGGAACAAATTGCCAGACATGGTGTTTTATCCTTATAAAAAGGTTTCTCCTTTATTGCTTGCCAACAGGTACACTCACATATGTGATATGCGGTCTAGGATGAATTGCTCAGCTCTAATGATCCGCCAGCCGTCCTGCCATGCACCCGCCGTCTGTCCGATACTCCAGCTCTCTCCGAGTGACACCGCAGCCCCCACCCCCCTACGCGTTACGCCACTGGTCACGTGTAAACTTCATCAGGGGGTTGTGATCTTCACAACCCCCTGATGAAGCCACGTGACCAGTGGCGTAACGCGTAGGGGTGGGGCTGCGGTGTCACTCGGAGAGAGCTGGAGTATCGGACAGACGGCGGGTGCATGGCAGGACGGCTGGCGGATCATTAGAGCTGAGCAATTCATCCTAGACCGCATATCACATATGTGAGTGTACCTGTTGGCAAGCAATAAAGGAGAAACCTTTTTATAAGGATAAAACACCATGTCTGGCAATTTGTTCCCACATATGGAAAAACGCACATGGGCAATCTGAGGATAACGCATATCCACGTTCTTACCATTCACAAAAGAGGAATTCCATCTAAGCAGGTTCCATAGGAGGTGAACCACAAGTGTGTATAGCCTAATTGCAGGCTAACAAGGAGGTGAGCATACATCTTTACCAATTGAGGATTCAAAGAAAGTCACAGATTCACAAAAAGTCACCAAATCAAGATTTATTCAAGCACAAAGTCACTGTATTTAAAGGACATTTATATCACAATTATTTGGCAGTATATATATATTTTTTTTTGAGTATTTCACTATTCATGATGTGTATTATTTTCAGTTATATATTTTAGTTCACTATGCACTATTCATTGGTTTTGCGGTTATTATTATCTAATTTATATACACTATAGTGGTTTATATTTTTTTTAAATCACTCACATAGTTTGATTTTGCATATTTTTTAATACCTGAAAATCATTTTGCATAGCAAGGTTAATTAGATATATACATCAAAGATATTGTCACTGGGAGCGCAACACATTATATATTTATGACTTTTTGGACACCCAGGTAGTGTTGTGTTGAGTGTTTGCGATCCTATATATATTTTGGACGGTCAGTGTCCATTCCCTTGGTTTTGAGAGGTTAATATTTGGTGGATACAGACTGGCTCGCAAGTTACACAGACATACTCCCCAAGGGAGTCAGAACAAAACGCATCCATAGTGTAGTAGGTCATTAAAGGATTTATTTAAAATTCAGCAACCCGTGTACACGGTATTAAGTAAAACAAATGGACTAACCGTCCAGTATTAAAGATGACCGCCGGAGCGCCACGATGCTCCGGCGGTATGACGTCACGGCGTTCTTGGCTCCTCCTACGCGTTTCGTGCACACGCACGTCGTCTGGGGGGATGTGCCACTGAACGCCGGGCCGTGCGACGTCCATTTATATGCTAGGCGCATGCGCTTTGGAAAGGCGCCATCATCCTGAAGTCTGACCACGAACGATCGGATCTTCATACCAGCGCCATTTTTCATTAGTTTTGCATACTAATAAGTGTACTCGGCTGGTTATCATTTTCAAGCATTATGCTTTTATCCTTCAAAACCTTCCAATCAATATTACCGACCTCCAAGCCGATTCGTACACATTTTACTTTATATAGTATAGAATAATTATATTTCCAATTAGCCAGAATAGATTCCGAATCAAAAATGGTCTATTGTGTGTGGCACTAGCATATAAACTATATGCCCAAAATATATTATACATTAAAATACAATTTAATATGAGTCAAACATACCCAATGTAGTGCAATTAAAATAAAGGACTACCATAGTCCTTACTTGGAATACAGATTATAAATTATAAAATAGTATATAAAATACAGTATCTATCAATCAATACAAATGGATTTAAATAGATGGTCCAAAGGTTTACTAAAAGGGGACATAGATGTATTGAGCCAACAGCATCTTATCCTATTTTCTCAATATATAGTTTTAACTGTTATTGATAAAACAGTTAAGATCTATATCTATATTGTGACCTTTGGGCTGCAGCGTTTGGAGTTCATATATCCAGCGCGTTTCGAGCTGAGAGACTTTCCGTATTTTGTTTATCCCCCTCCAATGGGGTTGTACAGTATCTATCCCAACAAATTTCAGGGTTGATGGATCATTATTATGTTTACATTTGAAGTGATAAGACAATGAATGATCTTTATATCCCTTTTTAATGTTACTGATATGTTCTCTCAGTCTATCACGTAGACGTCTGTAGTACGCCCCACATACTGGAGTTTGCAAGAGCATTCAAGGAGATATACTACGTTCTTACTGTAGCAGGTTATACAATTGTCTATTTTATATGATCTTCCTGTAGTGCATGAAGAAAAGGTAAATAATTTCTGTCTCCTTACGTTATTAATCTTACAAATAACGCACTTATTACAAGGAAAAAAACCTTTTATATTTGGTGCAAAAGTAATCTTCTCTGGAGGATCAATGACGTTTGGTGCTAATCGATGTCTTAATGAAGTGGCTTTCTTGTAAATAACTTCAGGTTTTACTGGAAGAATTTTAGAAAGAATAGGGGTCCGCCATCAACACATTCCAGTTTTTATTTATAATGTGTTTAATGGCTCTATGCTGTGTAGAATATGTGGTTAAAAACGGACAAGACAAAGACCTATTGGTTATGCTTTTTTCCTCCAACAGTGTATTTCTATTTAGATTAGCCACTTGTTGTATGGTGTCATCCATATTCTGTTGGGAATAACCTTTTTCCACAAATTTCATTTTTAAGGTTTCAGCCTGTGTGTGATACATATCTAATTTGGTACAATTCCTACGTATTCTAGTGAATTGACCTTTGGGGATATTAGCTAACCATACGGGATGATGGCAACTGTCTAACGGGATGAAACTATTCCTGTCCGTTTTTTTAAAAAAGGATTTGGTAGTAATCATCCCATTGTCATTTGATAATGTCAAATCCAAAAAATTTATCTCTGTGTTACTAAATACATAGCTAATTCAATATTGCATGTATTGTCATTTAATGTTTTAAAAAAGTTATGTAGAGATTCCTCTTTCCCATTCCATAATAAGAACACGTCATCTATAAATCTTTTGTAAAATAATAGCTCCGGCCATTCTCTTGCGTAAATTAAAAACTCCTCCCAATACGCCATAAAAAGATTTGCTAGACTGGGGGCAAACTTTGCCCCCATTGCTACTCCTTTGGTTTGCAAAAAATATTTGTGGTCAAACCAGAAATAGTTGTTCTGCATTGCAAACTGCAGTAATGTTAAAATATACTCAATATGTAGGGGAGATAAAGTGCTTAGAGTGTCTAAAAAATATTTTGCAGCATCCAACCCATCTTCATGTGCAATGTTGCTGTATAAGGATGTGACATCCGCTGTAACTAAAAAAGTCTGAGATGAAACTTCAATATCTTTAATCTCATTTAAAATATGCTTCGTATCTTTTAAAAATGATGGAGTTTGCGTGACCAGCGGCTGCAGGAAGTAATCTATATATTCTCCTGCTTTAGAGAATAGTGAACCTATTCCACTTATGATAGGTCGCCCTGGTGGTTTCGTCAAGCTTTTATGCACCTTTGGAAGTATATAGAACACCGGAAGTCTCGGAGCTGATGGACATAGGAATTCCTTTTCCTTCTTATTTAGTATACCACTCTCAAATCCCTTTGTTATAATACTTTTCAAACCCTTTTTTAAGAGATAATAAAGGATTCCCAGGGAGGCG